ATATATGTCTGGGATGACAATGTGGATGTAGGTATTGGTAGGAAGAAAGGATAGCAACCTACACATCACATCCTACATATCTGTACTAGATATATGAATCTGCTGATATTTTGAATGGACCGTGTGGAAACTTCATACTCGAGTTTGTCGATAGCAGATTTTATCGAGTAAAGTTCTCATATAGCTTAATGTTATTTTTGGTACCGGAAAATTCAGTATTTTCTGAACAAAGACCGATGGGTCCGACGTATTTCAATGTTTTTCTCGAAGCATCAAGATTTAGCTATGGGGAAAATATTATCTCAAAAACTCTCTTTAAGAAGGAGACCTTTACTCGTTAGTCAGAATTTTGTAAAACTATTAGTTGCCTGTATCTAGCCATTAATCATCGTCTAGTAGGAGTTGTTGGCTTTCTCAAAAATCTCATCAAATCCGATATCACCTGCTTTTAGTTCCAATTTGATCCATATCCAAAACACATTCATTGGTTTTTTATTGAAGACATTCAAGTTAGTTATTTGTAGAAAAAAAAGAAACCAGTTCATATTAGTCATTGCAGAACACGTTCAAGAGTTTCGTCTCTGCTGATTGGCTAGTACATAGTTAGTATGATGATCAATCAGTTGTCGTGTTTTTATTCGAGTGTTCCCCATAATCACAGTTCCAAAATCAAAATTCAGAGTAAATTTGAAGATGCTATCCGGACATAGTTTTAATTCACTATAATCGTCTGTTACATTTGTAGTAAGTACCTCATATCCTTGTCCTTCGACATATTTTCCACTGAATTCACCTGTTGTATAGATGAACTGCTGTATTGTAGGAGTAGTTCTTTTAACATAAATGATAGACTCTTGATTATATTTGTGACCTAATTGAATAAATACAGTACGTTCCACATTCGGTGAAACATTGTGTAGAATAACAAAGAAACTTGTTTCATTATCACCATTATAGACACCCATCATAGATGAATAAGCATATAAATTGGTCAAATCAATAGTCAAATTAATGGTTCGTTCTTGAATAGTATCATCACTCAAATTACGATCACTGGGCATCTTATTATTGCGTCCTGCACTTATCATAACATAACCACCTTCGTTAAGTAATTTTTCTATTGCTGATTGAGAGTATGTTATTGGATTTATAATTGATGTCCATGTACCTTTACTTAGAAAGTAATCAAAGAAAAATACTTCTAATAACTAAACATTCACTTTATATTATTTATTAACTCGCAGTAATACAAGAGTTTTTGCAAGATGAATCGAAAAAAGAAAACGTATTAAAAACGATAGTCGAAGCTATGAATCAATAATTCAGCAAGGACAGAGACAGATTTTCCACACTAACACGTTGAGGTGTATGCGAAAACTAGGAGCCGTAAATGTTGGTCTCATATTCTAACTTACGTCAGAAATTTAGATGTTGATCAGAGATTAAGTTGCATGTGACCAAAGCTAGATACATTTGAAATAGAACGAAATTAATCAAGAGTAGTTTGTCTTTGTTCGTAACTTCGTTAGTTTGTCTAGTAAAGTTTGCTGAATTTTTTTCATGATTATGCATAGTTAAGTCTGACGATTTTTGTATAAAACTTGAGTTCATCTTATAGTGTTTATTCATATTAAGTGGAAGTCGCATCAAAATTATCTCGAAATCGGTTGTTCTCTGGCCTATCGCCAAGCTTGAACGTCATTATCATCCATGTATCATTTCAAATTTATAGTCAATAAATTTTGAAGCGCTTAGCGTTCTATAAATTTCAACTCAATTTCTATACAATACATATATAACTCAGTTCTTTTTCCACTATGAGCAAGCAACGCCCTTGATGCTTTCTGTTCGATCATAGAAAAATGGAGACGATGCTTATGACTTATTTCTTTGAAATAGCATATGCACATAAATACTCCGATTCTAATTGCTAGTCGTGCCTGAGATCGACTAGAATTTAAATATGTGTGCACCGCTCTGTTCTGCATAGAGCATGTACATGCATTATCTGCTAGTTAAAATAGTCTTCTATTTTTGGTGATCGAGATGGTTGTTCTTTAAATTAAAAAAAAAGTTTCTCTTATTATGCATCTAGTTACTCATCTGTTTCATTTCATGGCTTAATCAAGTGTTGGCTAGGGACCTAAAACTCACTCCCTTTCCACCGTCAAATTCTCGTTAAGTCACTGATTTCATCGATCAACATGCATCTCCTTTACAGCGATACTTGAATGGTGTTGATGTATCAATCGAATGAGAAAAAAATGAATTTATAAAAACTAATGCACCTAGTTCCATTTCCTATAGTACTATTAATACCTTTGTCAATTTGTTTTGTTTCTCGTCGTTCTTTGCCATATAAAACACTCAAAGTTGTTATACAAGCTAGGAGAAGAACGAAAATAATACTTCCTAATATGATAACTTTGCCATTGATCTCCATTGATTTTTCACTTGTAGAATAGATGTAAAACTCTACAACAAAAAATACATAATTGAATAGGAGACAAGGCAAAAATCTAGAAGAAAATTGTTTTGACGACAAATGAATTTGGAAAGATATAATCTATTGTTTCAAATTCTCAAGTCATTTCGAAAAAATAACCAATATCGTCACTCAGCATATGTCGAGGGACAGAATGAAAGCATACTGAAATGAAAGAAACGTATATAAAACAGAAAAATATTGGAAAAAGAATACGAGAAAGATCATTTTAAATTTCTTGAAATGAAAATGTTCCTTCAGTGTTCTCTCTTTCTACTTACTTCAATTCTATTTTGAAGGATAACAAATAAAAGTTCGACGAAAGCACAGTACAAGTGACAAAATGTGTTATTCGAAGCAAATGCAACTAAAACGTGGAGAAATTTTAAGTTATCTCTTGGGGTTTGTCAACAAATAACTTAGATAACAAGGAGAAATCTTTCTAGGATGTGTTTAGTAAGAAAAAAAAGACACATATCCACTGAATAACTAAACAAAACACAAATATGACCAGATATCTACTCAAAGTGAAAGCAAAACTGTTTAATCAAAAGAGAACAGAAAAAAAGCACATGACACAGCACATGACTATCTTATTGGACAGTAGCAACGTTGTACAAACACAAGTGGGGTATCTCTACAAAGTATGCACCATTTTCACGCATACTAATTGAATTATATGCATTTTTGTGTGACAATTGCTATTATCGGAATTTTAAAAAAAGACCAACGCTTATAACTTTTGAACGAAGATAGCTAGACCCCTGCGGTTTTCGCCTTTCGAAAGGGGAGACAAGGGGACATATTTTTCTTCAATATTGTATAGGATGAAATCATTTAAAAATCAGTAATTTCTACAAAACACCGAAAAAATGCATGAAAACGATCTGTCATTCCAATGAAGTTTTGGTTCTGACATCTGATCTAGATAGAGGAACGTCAGATGTATAGTTCAAGATGTAATTCAAATGATTATCTTTCCATCTCCTAATGTTGAACAAATAAACTTGTCTATTCAATCGCACGAAAACTATAGAGTTCTTTTAATTTTTAAGCGTATTTTCTTACTTTTCGTCAAAATTTCATCTGAATGGCAGACCGTTTTTTATACATTTTTTCGATGTTTTGTAGAAATGACTGATTTTTAAATGATTTCGTCCTATACGATGTTGGCAAAAAAGACGTCCCCTTATCTCCCTTTTCGAATGGTGAAAACAACAGGGCTCTAGGTATCTTCGTTCAAAAGTTATAAGCATTTTGCACGAGGACCTTTTTTTAAAATTCCGATAATAGTAAGTTCAAATAAAATATCATCATTTATTTTATGGTATTCATTGAGATTTACGATTCAAACTTTGAATTTAATGGTGAATTCATATATTATCATATTTTATATTCATCATTTAGATGTGTTAAGGTGTTCATCTAACTTATTTGTAGCATGGCATGTCTAATAAATATGGAGTTTGTATGATATTAAGTGATAGATCCATTGATCAATGGATTTTTACAAAAATTAAATTACCTTCTGAATTTCTTTCGTCACTTATGAATTATATATATATATATATAGGATATGTTAATATTTTCTGTTGGAAATTTTGGTTTATAATGTCGGGAATAGATTCCTTTATGTTCAATCTTTTAATATATACCACTATTTAGGCTGTTGAAAAATTGTTTTTAGCCCAGTTGATTCTATCAGTAGTGATTAATTACAGCATAATTCCATCCACTATTTGTTCATAGAATTTATAATAGAGCTGATAACCTAAGTATATATATATATGTGTAGTGAGCATTAAACTTTGAGATCAAACTCATATATATGTATATTATTGATCACACACAGCTACTATTCTCTTTTCATACCCATTGTGAAATTTCACTTCCAATTATTTTTCGAAAATATATTCTGAAAAAAATCTATATTTGGAATTAATAAAATTAGTCATGTAGCTAATGTTTTCCATGGATTAAGTATGATATGCGTTTGGATAATTTCACTAGTGATTGAATACATCTAAAATATTCTTCTTTGACTATATCTGTCATATTTTGTAAATTATTCTGAATAATATATACACTAGTTACATTTGCTATTTATCCAATCGAAAACTCTACAGGATATTAATGAGTTGTTCAATTCACTAAAAATGTTTATGCTATTCTTTTACCAATTACAATTAAATGACCAATGTTTCCATTGATCATCTCACGTAATGGTACATAAGATGGGAGATTTGAATAATGCTCTTGCGTATATGATGAATAATTACATTTTGACATTGCATAAATCTAAAGTTTACATGCTCTAAGACACGTTCGATCTTTGAAAATATATCCTTTACGTAGATAAGATACTTTAGCTAAACCATAAGCTTTTTCTTTAAGTTTTTGAATAGCTTTCTTGTCATTGATTGGTATTACGTTGATATTGTGCATCGGTTAGTGAAAGAAAACAACATTCGCCTCCATATAACTATTGATTCGAAATAAATTCTGTATGATCAAACCATCAGCAGCAACAAAATGGTTACTGATTGAAAATGTATTTACATCATGATATATCCATATTTGCTTCCATATAAGATCATTCAAAGAATGGTTGCCTCATCCAATTTTTAAATACCAATCAAGCAGTTCTTTCAATAAAAATTGGCAACTATTACTAAACAAATGATGTGAAGAAGTTATATAGCATTTATTTGAGTAATACGCCAATTACTTTTATCTTTAATAACAGTATTATAAAATATGCGAGTAATATGAATTAATGGTAATAAAACATGAGAATAAAATTATTTAAGAATAGAATATTTTAGAGATACTCAGCATTAATCAATATTTCTAATTGTACAATAGCTGATCGATAGTATCAACATTCAGAGCAAAGTTAGTATCTTTATCTGTAATTGTATTAAAAGACAAAACCAGTTACACCTAGTAGTTCACTAGATAACTGTCTACCAGTTCAATTAGTTGATTCTAATAAACAAAGATGTGCATTAAACATTTTTGAAATGGCAACTCCATGATAACGTCTTCGCAAGATAACATCTAATACAAACAATTATTACTCATTGTCAAATGAGTTTTTTCGTTTAGCATAAATGATATTTCGTAATTTATGTCGATTCGTTGCATTGAAACAATTATCATTTGCAGAATACTTTTTTTTATTTGTGAAATAAAATTCTTGCTAAATGACATATAGAATCTTATTCTTTTGGAAAATAAAACATAGATCTGACAGAATTTCGATAAGTTTACAACACTTTGACTTCACACTTCTTCAACATATTCATCTAAATTTCTCTTTCTTAGTACTAATTAATATTAAAACATCTGGTATATTTAAAGATATTCATCAGTTGAAGAATTAAATTAATTTTATCAGAAATTTCCGGCTAGAATCGATTTGTGATACAGACAATTGAAATTAAATAGTGTGTTTTCTTACTAGCATATAGTTTTTATCAAATATATAGCGTAGTGACTCTATGCATTCTGATTTCTGGATAGATATCAATCGACGATAGTCAGCCACCTTTTCAAGCTAATATGTTTACGTTTCTATTCTCGTTATATGGCGTCATTATCTCACCCCTCGTCCTGTTATATTATATTTTGGCCTCTCTTATATCTCTTGAAAGTGTCTACGGATGTAAGGAATAAAATACATAGTCAAAAAGAAAAAAAGTCGTCGTCATGAGTATGAACATATCATATAGAATATAAAATATCAATGTCTATATGATTGAAGAGAAGAAACAGAACAACAGTATAAATGCAGCAGTCGAATTTCATAGCATTAAAACATGCCGTAGCTACTTGATTGAAGTCTGTCAATATGAAGGAAAATGAATATGATAGGGCAAACAATAAAAGAACTCACACGTAACACGTGTGGATTATGAAAAAAACATACGAAGACACACTTTTTCATTGAAAAGACTGTCAGTTTAGGCAATGCGATTTGTTTGATTCAATCTAAAAGATATTTATCTCAATAGCAAGTTCCACAAAATAAGAAACAAATTCCTTTTAACTCTGTATTTAACTAAAATGAAAAGCATAGCTTAGGTAGAATATTGTTTGCTGTTATTAGTCTGTCGACCTACAGTTAACATTAAGAAGATGAATTTATCAAATCATAGCTGCGAACAAGATAGAAAAAGAGCATTTTCTAAGCAACAGACGACCAATATATTCGTCAAATATTTTAATGAAGTGCGAACATGACGGTTATTATTTTCGATCGTCTGCATATATATCTTTAAGAAACAGAGAAATAGCAGTCATATGATTAGACAAAGTATGCCGGACTATCTTACATTGTTGCCTGTTGAATTAATTTATACAATTCTTGACAATGTTCCATCACTTGATATTCTTTCATCTGTATGTTTCGTCAACAAACGTCTTCGTTCGATTTCTTTAGCCTATCCTCGCTTTCAATTGAACTTTAGTTGTGTGGACAATTTTATGAACAAGAATCACTTTGACATTATCTGTAGTCAACTACTTTATTCAACTTCTCAAATTGTATCTTTGCAACTTTTTGATGAAAACGATGTGATGAAATTTGTAAAAAATGATCTTTTCTTCTCACGATTCAACATCATTGATATTACATTTCCGAATCTTCGTTCACTGACTTTGACATATATAGAATATGATACATGGTGCTTAATCAAAACTCGATTTCCACCACTTATCGTGATCTTCTCGATTTATTTGTGCTATTCTGATATATTAGCATCTACATCAACGACATCTTCTACTTTGAGTGAACTACTCTTTCTTTCGTCGTCACTTCAACGTCTCTCTGTCAAAATGTCTGGCTTTGACGATCATGATGTGAAAATTCGTCCTCCAAATTCAACAATAATATCTTCTGTTCAATATTTTCATATAGAATTCATAACAATTGATTTATTGAGTCTTCTTGCTGTTGCACCAATGCTTCATACACTTAATGGTAGTTTTGAAACTCCAGATTTGAAATTAGGTATACCTCATCCTCATCTATTGTATTTGGAACGATTACGGATCGAACTGTGGGCTATTAGTTGGACAGAGATGACAACTTTATTTTCTTCATTTCCACGACTTGCCTATTTGACAGTCATTGCTGATAATGTTGATATTGATATGGCTAATGGTTTCGCTTGGGCACAATTGTTGAAATACGTAAAACATTTCGAATTTAAATTTCAATTCTACTATGATGCTTTTGAACAACAATCACTTAATCTTGACTCATTTCGCACGAAATTTTGGCTTGAAGAGAAAAAATGGTTTGTTACATTTGATCGAAGCTCGAACACTAACGATTCTTCAATACTCTATTCGAATTCTTCTTCTATTATCATTTATCCACCACATGAAATTTTTGGAACACTAATATCAGAAACAACCGCATCAGAACCAACATTATTTTCTCATGTTCATTGCTTAATAATTAATGATCAATATTTGAAATATCCGCTCTTATATCGTTATACTCATATCAAAGAATTGTATTTGTCACAAGTTACTACTATGTTATCTACAACGCTCAAGGATCCCGCAATCGGTCTTGATACGTCGCGAATTCTGACATGTAATATTGGTCCTGAGTGGAGTAGAAATCCATCGTACGAACACATCGAATTTTTACATAGTTTGCCTTGTTTGCGTCGGTTGAAAGTCTCTGGTATTAATCTCAAACGTCTTTTTCTTCATCAATGGCCTCATATTGTTGATTTGAAGATTGAATATGACTTTCAGAGTAGACTTCATGTATTATATTCAAATGATATCGATGCACTTTGTCATTCGTTTACTCATATCAAACGACTCGATATTCATTCATCATTTATTACTGATCTACCACTACTTTTAAATAGAATGAAGAAAATATTAACAACTATAGTCATCAGACAACCACGCAAGATCAATGATGAACAATTGATAACATGTGAATGGATCGAACAAAATACAGAACTAAAAAAATTTTACTATACATGTGACTTTTGGAATTCTGTTAGATTATGGCTTTGACATCTCTGTAATTGTGACATTTCATATATTAATTTTTCTTTTTATTGTATCTATGATATTGATTTTGTAAGAAAAGGCAAATCTTTAAATAAACACCTTACCGATTCACACAGGATACTATAATTTGATTTCACACAAATGTCATACTCGAGTATTAGTACAGCACAAATATAAAAAGTACATAGAAGTGATTAAAATTGTAACGCACTGTTCTAGGAGATGTAAGAACTATGCGACTACTCGTTGTTATGAAGACATGTTTTCGACCATATTTAACAATTAATTGAAATTCTCGAAAAAGGCTGTGAGTGTAGATGTGCATGTAAGTATCAGTAAAGACCACATCCACCATACCTCAGAAATCATATATTCAAAACCTAGTCGAACAAGCTTTGCTCCTAACTTGGAGTGGTTGTTTTTAAAAAACGTGTTTCTCCAAAGGAGATAACTTGAGTCGATTCTTTCATCAGACTTGAAGCCAAAAAAAAGTGGATAAACTGCAGCTCTACTTCAACTCCAAAGTTAACTACAACTTCAGTTCGAAATTGCCCATCTTTGATAGAAAGTGTCCGGTGGTTTTTTTGAATCGCAAATTAAAATTCAAAGATGTACAATTTTTATTCCTGTCTGGTTACGCTGTGAGTATACATCAGTGTTTGATATTCTATGCGACAACGATTATCAAAAAGAAAAGAGAGACAAAGAAATTAGGACTATCAATACGTTTATTCTCTAAGTATTAATAGCATATGAACAAAATACTGAACACACTTCAAGCTACCAAAATCTACGTCGTTTTCACACTTCCGTACAGTACAAGATTGCGAGTACTACCAATACGTTTGCTCTCATCTAGGTAGGTTGTGTTCGAGTATAATACGGATTGACCACCACCAGAGAATTAGAACTTGATGCAGTGTTTGAAGACGATTCTAGATTATGTGAAACGTTCCTTGCTTGATTTCTATTTGTTTCTGTCGTTAAACTTGTCGAAAGGGTGGCCTCAGCATCAAATGCTTCATTTAAAACTGTTAATTTTCGGGTTCTGTCCGTTCCTGTTATTTGCTCTCCGCTGATCGTGGATTGACGTCGTATTGCGTTGCGTTCATCTCCAAGATTCGATATCGATCCAATACTCTCTAAACGTGCCGCATATCCACTGGCCACTGCTACTGTCATTTGAATGGGAATATCGCGAACAGCACGAAACTCGCCACAATTATTCAAATGTTCGTTTTCCAAACGAAAATAATTCCAGATAAATCGTCGAAAAACTTCAATGATACCGAAAGCAAAACCAATGATATCGGCGTATTCGGCTGCAGATGTGCTAAAATAGACAAATATATTGATGATCCAAATGAATCGAAAGAGAATATTTTCGATGATAGCAGCATAATAGTAATTTTTCGACGAATAGATGATTTGTTCGCGCAAATATTTATTTTCAGCTTCATTCTTATCGAAAAAGCCATAATCCATTTTAAGATCCCAGATGAGTTTATAGATTGAACTGATCATTGATGAAACAAACCATAGATAAAGAAAAGGACTCGATGTTTGATGTTGTTGATATTGAGGAATGGTTGCTCGCCGAACAGTACTTGTGATGGCAACTAAAAAGCCGCTGGCATACTTGCCGGCATTGGCCAAATGCGGAAATTTTGCTTTCGTGTCACGATATCGTCTTATACATTGTGCAAAACGAAACCAAGATGGAAGTAGAATGAAAACTGTCTGAAGAAAAAATTGTGACCAACCAGCACAAAATACACCATGTTTCTCAGTCGGATGAATCCAATGAACATCATAAATGTAAAAACAAATAAAATATTGAAGATCGAAAAAGACCAATTCGAGTGATATGAGTTGATCGCCGAGCCAAAATCCCGTAAAATCTACATGATAGAATGGTGCTAAGAAAACTCGACCGAGATTTTTTAAAAACCAAAATCGAGATTTATAATAGAATATATGAATTGGATTGATTAGTAAAATAATAAGAAAGATGACGAACACCAATGGTTGTGCAAAAGGTTGAGCATCGTAATAGGATGATATGATAAAGGCGATAAAACTGATAAACCATAAAACCATGAGAAACGTACCTATTTCGAGTAGTCGTTGATAGGTTAGATGATTGCGTGGATCGATTTCGAATATGAGAACATGATTAACGCCCGAATGTGACCAACCATAAATATTGATGGAGACAAAAATTATATGAAGAGCAATGAGAAACGAGGAGCGATAGAGATGCAGTGCTGGTTGCCAAGCAAGCGGCTTGCCAGATTGGCTCTTATGCAGAGTGTTACTAAGAATAAATATCATCGGAATGAGAAGACACAACATGCCTGAAAAGAGAAGTAAAGTGTAGTTCTACATTATGAATGACTTATAAATAATGAACCTTCCAATACTTCGATTAAGACTTCTTTTTCATGTTAGTCTTTAAATCTGATCTCTTTTTTTCAAAACTATCACCATCAAATTCGTGTCCAAATCCAATCGAATTAATATGTAAAGAAACTGTGCGATAAAAATTAAACAAAGAATACATAATACTCAAAACCGGCAAAACTTCTTAAGTTGAAACTACTGTTTTGTCAAACTACTCTCATATATTTGTGCAATCGAGTTTAAATCAAAATAGCATTTATGCTTCTTGATAACATTTATCAACGGATATTAATTGAACTAATAGCGCATTAGTCTTTGCGATTCCGATTGTTTTTTTTTAAGTTGATGACTTTCAAACACTTGGCTTTTTTGATTCTTGATTTTTATGAGTCGTAGAAAACGTCTAATGAGGAAGCCAAAATGGAATACGTATATTAAGCTCGTAGACGTTTTGTGTTCATGAGAAAAGATTATTGTACGTCATTGCTTGAAATGAAACTACAAAGATTCAGCCAAAGCTGTCTTCTTATTTAGTCAGAAAAATGAGTAGGCGTGTATTATTTTGAGTTTGATTACAGAAGTTGAATTTTTCAACACTCGTTTGCACTCTACTGGATTTTAAACTGTACGACAAAAGATAGCAGACTTCAAAGAGCTAGAAAACTTCTTCAGTTTTGTTAAATTTGTTCTGAACCATTTAAAATATTCTCAAACGTAAAAAATGCACAACCACTAAGGACAGTCCAAACTTAATAGCTTTTTCAGATTAAACATCACAGGATAGAGTTAATCATGCTTTTACTTCTTCGGGAATTCGATCTAGTGGACATGCCGACTTATACACAATTCATTTGTTTCAAAAAATTTGTCGATAGGCTTCTTCAAATGATCTTCCATTCAAAACAAAGTTGTTACCTTGATTACAGTGCATAATATAACGATGACACGTCCTAGATTTGTGATATATAAGTAAACTCAATGCCTTAGAATTGGAAATGTTACAATTGAAGTATCTCTTCGTAGCTACAATTTGACACAAGAAATGGATAAAAAATAATGATGCTGTACAACTTCTCTCCAAAGAACTTATCAGACAGTATTAACAAAGATACAGATTTGAAAAGTGGCTAGACTTTTAAGCACAGACATGATATCAATAATTCCTTACTACTTATCAACGAAATGAAAAAGCAAAGATGCTTCTAGTTCAAATACGCGGTAGTACAAAAACATGATTAACTCTATTCTGCGGAGTCTTATCTATAAAATTCACTACTTATGGATTGTCCTAAGAAGAAATTTTGTTTATATATTAGCATTATTCACTCTTTGTGTCATTTTCTTTGTACACTTTCTATACAAATCAATTCAATTGGATTTTGTAGAGAATTGGAAGAGATATCTTTTAAAAACAAGATTAGACTTTAAGATTAAACTGAAAAAAAAAGCTACAGTGAAAATACTGAGAAATTCGTCACTAATGGACCATCCGTTAGCTCGTGTATAAAATCCTGTGCGAACTGATGATTCTTACCGACAAACATTCCAACACGAAATGTCACTAAAGGCGACTGTCTTTCTTCGAGAGGCGGAACACGGAGACGCTGCATAGCCTTTGTTCGATCTCCAGATTCCAATGTGTCAGTATAGAGGTTTTCGACTTCAGTCATCAGCTCGTCGATTCGATTCGATGTGTGAAATGGTATCGTGTCGATGTGCACTTTCCTATTCGAGTAAAATTCTGATGATTCCATAGCTCATATAAAGTCCTGAACAAAAGTAAGTACTCACTCTTCCCCGTCCCCTACAGTGCCATGATTTTCCATTATTCTAGGTTGATATTCACTAGAGTTATCAGTTCAACATTATTATCACATTGTGAAAATTATATGTAGATCATTATTCGACATTTATTTTCGTGCAATCACTCGTTCGAAAGCTTGTTGTTGCAATTATCTTCAGCAAGAATATGACAGAAAATTACAATAGAAGAACATGGGTGTAATTTTCATGTTAAAAGCTGCTGACAAGCAGAAAGGCCTATTTTTCATTCAACTTTCAATAACTAGAGCTGATTTTAACCGATTTGGTTGCATGTAACAGGATTTACACCTAATAAGCCAGGCACATCGAGCATCATGTAGCACATGAAATAAAGTAAAAATCAACCGTAGAAATGTGGCGAGACAGACGAAACATTTTTGAAATATCGTTTTCCTTCAATTTCTTCAGCGAATAACAAGTAATGAGAAGGTGCATAAAGTGGTTTATTGTTGCAAAGACTTTGATTGCAGAATCATTTAGCTGACTTCAGAGAGTTTCTGATATATCGTACTATTTGAGACGACGAGACAAAAATTGATGGTGCTTACCCGTGTTAGCAAAACCATACTCAATCCATTCAAAAACTGTTTTTTCCACCTTTTTTTCTAACTTGTAACTAGAATTTCAATATGAGAATGTTGAACTGATGACTCTAGTGAATATCAGCCGATCGAAGGCGGGGTGATGCTGACAATCATGGTTTACTAAAACTCGCACGCACCCTAAATACTAATCTAGAATAATGGAAAATAATGGTGCTGCAGAGAGGACAAAGTATCTACTTTTGTTCAAGATTGTACAAGAGAAATCAAGAAGCCTACCGCCATTCATCACCGCGCGTCGTTTGAAATAGTTTATCGTGCTTTTTCAAAATTTTACGAAAGCCAGTCGAATTGAGTGTTTGATAATTTTTCAAGAGGACCAACATCAAATAGAATTCACTAAATGCTAATTTGAGATTATTGATGTTAAGATGTCGTGTTCGCTTCATGCGAACTTTTCGTATCGTTTCGACAGGTTTATGAAGTTTTGTTTGCGCTAGCCATGATCGAAAGGTGTTTCGTGAAGATGAATCAGCAAGGAGCATGCCATTATCTCTTTCGTCATGGTTGCCTTCTGGACCATCCAGGTCTAACACAGTTGAATTCATGTTCTGTCGAGATCGACGACTTTGTTCACTATTCTTGAGTTCATTTTTAAGAGGTTCAAACAGTCGCAGTGCTCTACAAACACAATACTCAAGTACGATGCGAAAGGTAAACAATGAAATAACTGTCAAGAGAATGTTTTCTCGTGCTCTCGTCAAACTTTTACAAATGAAAAAAACACTGTGTCCAAGTGGTACATAAATCAGTCTTTGTTAGAAAAACTAAATCTGCCTGTCCATTGTATTCAGTTGTAAGATTGTTACAAGAGCAATCAATGTCATATACTGAAAAGTTTTAATAACAACTTACTCGGCAAGTTTTTCAGCAAAGAAATTATTGATTTTCGATGCTTCTTTCTTGCAGAACTAGTAAAATAAGGTAAGAAACAATACAGATCTATAGGTTGCATGCAGAAAAATTGCCAAAACTGATCAACAAGCTGAGAGAATTCCTTCGTTCCGCGCTTATCTCCAAAAAGGGATAAATCTAGATATTCCAATGTTTGATGAAGTTAGTCGATGCATAAGTGCTGACAGCACATGAACAGTAAAGTCGATATCGAATATATTCTGAACAGACAAGAATGACTAGCCTAGGTACAAAAACCATTCCATTGTAGCTCATGAAACATTTCCAATCCATGCGAAACAGAATATTTCATCTGCTTGTTGATCAATTTTAGTATCAAATATCGAGTCAATCTTACCTGAAAAAACTGTTCATCGGCAAGAACAAAAAATTGCTCACGTGCCGATCTATCATTGATGTCGATCAATCGTTCGGCTTCAGCAACCGATTCGGTAAGCATTCGTTTCATTTCATCATATTCGATATATTGAGAATACCATTCAGGTGTTCGATTTTTCGATAAATATAGACCGAACTTCATGGTAATTGATGACTCTAAGTAAAAAAATTATATTCGTACGAAACACATTTCTAGCACAGCACAATCCACAAAATAAGTGTTCATGGAAAAATTGGAAATGTTTTTGTATGAAATAGTCTGATGGCTTAACCAGTATCCGACACTTTCCATAGTAGATTTTCTTCATAACAGTATAGGGTGACCCAAAAGCACTGATCTTTGTTTAATAAATAGAAATGTTTCTATTTCGAAAGCACATTCATTGAAGATAATGAGACAAAATATGGCTTCTGTTGTGAAACAAAACTATCTTTACTTTTTTACTAATCTGTTTGTGGAAATTCAATAAAGCAATAATGATATGGATACAGACTTGTAATTTTTTCACTACACTTTTTGAAGTTCATGATGTGAGTATACATATAAACTCTTTCGAATAATGGCTGGTTTTAAACTATTATTAAGATATTCATGCAATAAGCGAATCCTTAATGAAATATTGTTTTTGTTCTCATAGAAGGTACACCGCTTCACGTAAATTTCATATATATTGAATTATGTATCTGTCTTACATTATGGCAGAACGATATCGAAGTGAAAATAAATCAATGAAGTTCACTCAGTTCTATCTATTGCAAGAAGCACTCAATAAAAAAAACAGAATATTAAACATGTAGGAAGAGTATTTCAAAAAGGAGTAAATCGTTTTTTGGACTACCTTATAGATTTAGATGTGACAAGCGTTTTCATGAAAGATATCTTTCGTATTTGAGCTCTATGTGAGTTATCTCTCAGAATATTATTCCTACATGGATACCGTTACAGTGGTTCAAGAAGTACACGTATGAATTCATTATCAAACATCTAGAGAAAGCTACAAGCTTCACTCACCTTCTGTTCGACGTAAATGTAAATGTTGTTTGTCAGCATTTATTGACTATATGAAGTCGAAATAGATAAACAAGTGCGAGCGGGCAAAAAAAGATAAGAACATGTTTCATAAAAGATAATGCAAAAAGCGAAGAATATTTGTTTTGATCGTTCTTCTCTCCGATTGCATGAAGGTTATTTGCAAGAGGCATTTACTTTTGCTTTAGTCCATGTTCAACGCAATTGATAAATGGTGAATACTTGACGAACCGATCAATTGTATTGAAGCAGTTAACAACAAATTTGAAGGGTGTGGGTATGCTTGCGCCTATGGACATGGTTCTTCTTCTCGCCCATAGAAACACTCGCTCACTTCGTAATTCTGAGACAAGTTTGCTAATTTTTTTAGACACAAAAATATTCTTTTTTTTGTTTTATTTAGGTCTTGATTACGAATAAAAGACACTTTATTAATTTACAATTTTGTTTGAATCTATTGAATTAAAATTGTTCAATAACAATTCTTATGAAATTAATCAATATTAATGTTAATTCATTTATTTTCATTGATTTATTATATAACTGAAAATAATCTTCATTTATTTTATATTGGTAACATACATTTAATTGATATTGATCAATTATTTTTTATGAATATGAATTTTATCTTAAAAATTATTCAACAAAAATTTCAATTTTTTGATAAAAAAATTAATGAATCACAATTAAAATCTTGGGCTGTTTTCTCTGCTAGTGTAGATTTATTTTTATGACTCGATATTTAATAGTTTCGATTGCATTCTGGGCTTTTTCATGTTTGAGTATTGTATTCACGTATCATATTTAGTGATGCATGATAAACATTGACTATAGCTGTCAAAAATTAATAGAGAAGCTTGAAAGACCTTGAAAATCAAAATTTTTAGAAAATCACGTTACTTTCTTCTGTGAGAGAGTTCAGAAAAACGCACGTAATATCCTCAAATCTCACCATAAAATGAATAAATTATAGTGTGATTGTGAACTGCAGTTTAGGTGAAGGGAATGCACCAATGCCAATATTCACAGTGTCTTAAACAATGAATGATGATCAATATTTATTTCAAAGAAATCAATTGACACTCATTGCTTTCAATGATTAGTATACAAAATGATATTTACATTGATAAAGAATACTAATAGAATGATGAATTATCAAGGAGAACTAAATATTCTATCAAAACTATATCGATTATGAAAATATGTTTAGTTTCGTAAGAATAGATCAATGGAAGATAAATACCAGTTTGTTTAAAAAAGAAAATATGTGAAAATGATGGAATATTCTTTGAAGTAATGATTTGTCGAATCAAAGGAAATATAACATTTAATAGTATGTTTTAGTTTTAAAGGTTAGATCTAAGTGTTTCTTTCTTTTTTTCTTAAATAACATTGAATCAGTGTTTTAGTCAAGTTTTCGCTGTCGAGAGGACTATTTGGAATTCTGAAGAGGCAGATATCGACTTTCAGGAAGCGAGACAATCACGAAATTCACAATGTGATGACCATGAATCCTGGAAGGATTGACCTGATATTCTAGGAAGTGTCATGCTTTTGACCCTATCTTGGATAAAACACTATCTTGAACAGATATTTTTACGTAACTGTTTTTTGTTTTTATTAGTATATGCTTGAAGGCAAGAAAAGTGACAATGTCATTTATCTGTGACTTTATCTAAGGAACTGTACAAAAGGCGATGTTGTTATGAACAATTTCGACTAGTCAAATCAAATTACTTTTTATAGCTCATCTCAGGTACTGTACACTCGTTTTTTGTTCATTTTTGCTGAGAAAAAATAGAAAAAAAAATCCGGAGAGGACGGCAAACACTCCTCTGTCCTGGCCTCACACCTCTTAAATCTGCCACTACATTTTAGCATTGAAAACATTCATTCTGTAACGAAAGTTCATTGTGAAAAAACAAATAAATCTATATAATAAAAAGAATTCGTCATAATTTATGTTCAATCTTTCTATGTTTCATATCAACGAACATCTATATCAATAAGATACAAATCAATACAAAAAAAACAATGATGTAGAAATTTAATCTTTATTTAACACTATTCAATTGCATACATGTAAAAACTGAAATGTATAAATTTTTACAAAATGATACAATAAATCGTTATAAATCAGCGAGTTATCTTATATCATTATAGTCCGAAAACTTGATTACAAGAACGAATTTTAATTAATTTATAACTGGTATAATAAATATGATAGAGCGATCAGAAAACTGAAATGTACACAATAAGAATCTCTTACTTTGTTTTATCAGTAAAATAAAAATAAATATGTAAAAATATTTATTCGTTACTTTTTTGTGTGTCATTGGCAGCTAATATTTTAAATTAGTACCTTAGTGATGAGGGTGGTCACTTGGTCCGAATATAGTTAGGTTTTTTAACTGATAATAGGAAGAAAGCAAATTGAAGTATCTTATCGTTGAGCACGTCCATATATTCCTTCATCACTTAATCGATATCTTATATTGCAACTAATTCAAGATTTTTTTTCATAATTTGTCAGCTTGAGGATTTTTTATTTCAAAATTTTATTTTTTCGAGATTTTCTTTTTCGAGGTGTTTTTTTTCGAGCTTTCTACACAATACGTTTTTTGACACTTAAAAGACTTTAACTTTTTATTGATAGAAAATATCTACAAAGCAAAACAACTAAGACTCATAAACTGACTTATAATTAAATAGTGAGAGGCAATGAGATCATTTATTAAGTTTCTGAAACTAACTGTCCTGTGTTCATTTTGGATAAATGGACTTATAATGTGTTTGAAAAGTGATAACCTTGGCGCTAGGCTTCCATTTCGAATGGACATCTATTATACGGTTGTCTTGTATCATGTGGAGGAATTTTATAGAACATGAGGACCGAAGGATACTTCCATAAATAAAACATAGATCAGTTAAGCATATATCTCGTAGCACTGGTACCCGGCTCCAGTCCCAGAACTGACACTGGTGCGTACTAGTGGAAATCCTGAGAGTACGATGGGAATCCAGCGAATCTCGGAAGTATGAAATCCGCCGTTTCCCCCCTAGGCTTGAACAGTATTCCCCTTATTTACATTATGAAGACCGAGGTTATTGTAGATAGCCACCAATAGACTGTGGTCAGATGATTGTAATTGAAGAGCTTTTTCAGCCTAAGATATTGCTTTATCATAACTCATCAGCTCATTGTAAATCAGGGACAGGTTCGAGTAATACTTAACCTTCGTTAATGAATCACCAAATTCTGTGTATTTAAGTAACATCAAAAAAAAAAATGTTCAACTTTCTGAAAATCTTCCATTTTCATTAATAAACCATCGAATCCATTCAAATTATCCAGCCAACCGATTTCTGCTTTGATGCTCTTAGCGAACACATTCAATGCTTCATCTACTTCTCCGTTCATTCTTAAGCAAACTATCCAAACATCTTCAGGATACCATCTATTCACAGATTCAATACGAAAGACAGTAGCCATTGAAAAAAGCATCTCGTCTTCTTCCTTCCTGTAGCTCATATGTTTTATATCTACTAGTGATTGCCGACATCTTTCAGTGTCAATGATTATTTCAAATAAAACTGATTCTGTACTTGAATTATTTGATGATGAATTACCGATGAACATCAGTGCAACTTGTTTGTTTGTATTTGTTGAGAATATAAATATTCTAGTTTATTATATAGATCATCGATGAAGAAGCCAGGCGTAAATAAGATATCAATATTCTGTATTCGCAATGCATTATTTAGTATACGATACAGAAAAGAATTATGTGTATACCAACGAATTGCTTCCTTTTTAGAATATGTACGACGAAATGCTTCAATATTTTCTAGCTCAGAGATGTTGTCATGTTATTGTGAATGACGAATACAAATAAATTCCTTTTTTTTGTAGATTGTTTGTGCTTGAATTTTACGAGAACTTCAGCAAGTGATCAAAAGTACATGAATACTGCTTCTTGTTGATCTGAACAATCACTAGCAGAGATGTGGGTAGAGCGCTTAGCAATAATATAGATGAGTTATGTATGGATGATGATGATGTTTTTTTTTATTAGCGAGGACTCTTAATATGATCGTCATAAACAGAATGAATTGACAAAGTTGTTACTTTAAAAACAATCTATCTCAGTGTTACTGAGTTGATCGAAATTCAGAATAATTCGTTGATTTTTGCTGTAGATATTAATATATATTTTGTATAACAGGTTTATCTGTCAGTTTAATCAATAATTAGAATGAAAATATAGTTTAATTGAGAAAAAAAAAGAAAACGAAAAAAAAATCATAAATAAAAATAACACGAGAATAACAAAAATAGAACACCAGTAGAAAAAGAAAATTTTGTTAAAAATGTAGAAATAAATAAGATAGATTATTTTTATTTCAATGGATTATTTTGAAAAAAAAATATTATATGCAACAGTTTTTTTAACCTTACATATTATGTATTAGTATATACAAGGTAAAGAAATTCTTCGATTTCTAGATTTCAGCAGCTAATGAGAAAGTTCGCGAATAAGTTTTTTAATCTATATAAATTAGCCAGTCCATGAAATGGTCATCTGTCCATATCGTGAATCGCTCGTGGATACACCTAGTGCCTGCCAGACAGCTGGAGATCCATCAACGATATTGTTACGACATGGAGGTTGTCCCGCATGTTCGGCATCACATCCATTTACTGAGTCGCATTCATCGACGACTTGTGCTGTTGTCGTTCTACCATTACCATTAATGGTAATCGTTTTCCCACATCGTGATCCTCCATTGTACCATCCTGTTGACAAGGCGACGACACGCTGTGTATCAGGATAAAAAAGTCCAAAGCATGCACCTGCACCACCACCATCCCCACCTGCTCGGAAACTGTTCAACGTAAGTGTAGCTGAGCTAGTTGAGCTAGGAGAGCATTGATATTGATTATAAAATTGTCCTGCCTGACAGCACTCGGACATATTTTCTGTGTTGCAGTTAGTGCTAGGAAAAGATAAATGCATAATGCGCGGAAGAGCTATATAAAAAGATTACCCTGTGCCTTGCAATACACCTGACGGTGAACAAGTTCCAGAAGAGCCAGTAGTAGTAGGGGCAGTAGTACCACCACCAGAAGATCCAGTACCGCATTTTCCACTAACACAAATTAACGATCCATCACAATCATTTTCAGTTGTACATGGATCCCCACAACAATGCCCTGTCCATGTACACGGTGCACTGCATCCGGTACCGCCAGGTGTGCCACATTTTCCACTTATACAGATCATAGATCCATCACAGTCGTTCTCAGTTGTACATGGATCACCAGCACAGTGTCCAGGCCATGAACAAGTTGCTCGCTGTCGGATTATATGTGATTGACAAGTGCTCGCGCAAAGTAATCCGATAAGAAAGAGTAGCATTGGCTGAATAATAATTGATTAGAATATCTAGAAAGCAAAATAGAATTGAGAAACATTTATGATTTATCGTGCAAAGACGCTACATCTATGAACTATTATTGAAAGTTTTATTATTTCTTCAATTGAAGAGAGAGTATGAATGTGGATACAGCAATGAGCACAATAGTATTCACACTCGTACATACGCTCATCCATTCACTTAAATGCATTCTAATATACATATATTTGATATTAGTATTGGTTAGACTTTTCTTTGTATAGTAGTATATTGTATAGAAAGAGTTAAATATTCAATCGAAGATCAAATAAATCACAGCAATGAGTGTTAATTGTAATTTATAAACTATTAAAGTGTAAAATGATTATTATTACATTAGATTTTGATATCTAGAAAATTATTCAAGATTGATTGATTTAGATATCTTTTATATGAAACAGAATATTTCTAGCTGAGTAATCGAAGGTTAGTCTATCCTCGTTTTTAAATATTAAAATCTTCATTTATTTTTTTATTCTGAATCATGATATCCCAAGTTGAACAATACGGTAGCACACGACTGTGTACAACTCAAATACGACAATTTTCGACCTGAAACAGGTGATCATATACAGTGTTTGTTTACGGTTCTACGTAATCGAGCCGTATACGATAGCTGTTTACATGCTGTAACTGTGTGGTATCTATGTTGTATTATTTAAAGCGCCTAAACTAAGGATTCTTTTCCGATTGTCATAAAAAAAATCGCGATTAATTATAATAAAATTCCTGATAATCCGACGTAATCATAGTATTGGTCTTTACGATTACGACTACGTTTTGACATGTATACCAATGCCATTTACCATCATACTCATACATATTTCTCTTAAAAGAGAAGAGAAATCCTTTGTTTCTCTTCATTCACAACGAATAAAAGAAAAAAATTTTTACTTTGAAATGAAATAATCCTTACCGTTCACTTGATCAAAGGATTTAAACAGAATAAAACAAAAATATATGTATTTGTATATAACAATACTTATATCTCTCTTGTAATTGATGAATAAAAATTGACTCTATGATATCTATTTATATACGATTTTTTTAGCATTGTAATCATGGGAAAATTGCGAAGCAGAAAAAGAACATTATGGGACAAATCCAAATCAATTTCTTAATCGTGACAAATAAATATATATTGAGTCAATGGCTAATTAAAAAATCAAGGTAGGCTTCAACGTTTTTCTTTTTTGCTTTCTGTTGATTTGATATGTATGTGTATATGCCTACGCTTAACGATTGTATCTCTTATGTTCGGTTATTTTGTGCAATAATATCCAAATATATTTTGTCCTTAAGTACATTTAACCTATATATCGTACATGTAAAGAATATATGCATAATAACGACGTATCATAATAAAAGCTTCATCTTGTCATGACCATCTATGTTCTCATATTATCTGCTTGTTACTCATCTCTAACAACCTGGGATGTTCCCCTCTATTCATCGAATAAAGTAAAAGCAAGTGCGTACTATTTTTAAATAGTTGTTGAGTTAAAAAGATAATCACAAACTACAAGAATGTGTAAGCAACAACAAAAAAATAATAATAATACTCGACAATAAAAGTTAGTAAATATTATTTATTCTATTCCAGACACTTTGTTAAAATGCTTGTATAGGAGTTGTATAACATTGTATTTCCATGAGTTTCTTCTCATTGAAGAAAAGAGTGAATTTTTATTACGTTCTTCTCTCGTAAAATATATAAATATCTGCAAATTTATTTAAATCAATTTTTATCCTTGCAATCGTTTTAGAAATCAATCTGTATTAAAAAACAATATTTGTTTGGGCATAATTCAAATAAATATACATATGTTTATTCATTTAAATTAAAGATACCCTTGTGCTGGTTTGTCCACTCTGAGCCAAAAGCTCAAAAACAAAAAAAAAACATAACCACTCGGAAAAGTAACGTTATATGAAGTTATGTTTTTGAATGCTTGATGCCTCTAGTCAGAAAAAAAAATGTAGTAGAGTCATATTTGATTAAACTTTCCAAACATTTATTTTTTTGAGTATTTAACTTATAGTGGGCCACTCTAACAAGCGCTTGCATTTTATTTTCTACTAAAATGACATTCAGAGTAGGTTAGAGTGTAATTTGTTAATACCCTAAAAAATTCAAGTAAGAAAACATTCGAAGAATACATTTTACAAATATCTTTTTAATACTATTGAAGAATAAATAAATATTCAATTATTTTAATATCGATAAGATTCTTCACATTAATATTTGAATGAGATTTTAATTAAAATTAATAGTTTCAATTGTAATTTATTAACAAACAGAACTTGAAAATTATTTCATTATCTAGATACTTGCATTTTATTGTTAGAGTTTTATGATACTATTATTGATTGTTTCCATGTTTTAGAATAGAATCTAGCAATGAATGTATCATTATTCAATTTTATTTTTGTTATATTTCGAAACAATCAGAAAATTGTGCATATATTAATTTTTCTATTGATATGTTTTACTTCAAAGGAGGTCCTCTCATAGCAAATTCGACTACAAAAATTCCTAAGAATTGCAAGTTTTAAATAGTAATAACACGAATAAAAAATTTTATTTCTTTATATCTTTAATTTTTTGAGTGATATATTTAATTGTTAATCGTTTTACATTTTACCTTGAATGTTATTCTGATTAATGTGTAAACAATTCTTTGTTTGTAAAAAGCAATACTCTATTTGCTTATAAAAATATCTTTTGTCCTTATTTACATTAATATGAAAGTAAAATGACTCAGAACATAAGATTAGTCATAGAACTCAAAATAATATGTCCTTGTAACATTCTTTAATAAGTCTATTACGTTCATTCTATTCTTTCTTTACTTTTATAGATATTAATAAAACTATCCATGAACAATTTAAAATCAAATTTTGAACTGTACATGATTTATCTTCTCAATCTTTATTGTTTTTAACTTATTGAAAGATGAAAATTACTAAATATTTCATTTTCTTCAGTTTAAACAACGGAATGAAATTATTACTCATTTATACTATCCATAAGAATCTTCACATATCCTAAATTATCTATGATTAAAAGAATGACGATTTGGCATAAAAATATTTTTTTGTTATGTTAACAAAAACAACTATCATATAACTGTGGTTTGTTCAGATAATCATCAATGATATATGAGATAAAACACAAAAACAAATTTTGTCATGTATGAATAATATATACAATCAGTTTGTAATGCTTGTAATGAAAACTTCTATTTAGCTATTCTAATAATTAATAATAATACATTTATTTATTTAAAAAAAAATTCTTTGATTTTTTTTTGAGCAAATTTCAAGACCATAGAAAATAACTTTCATCTAATCACTGATTAGTAACGTTTAGTTTAATAGTAATAAAGAAAATTAGATAATGAAAATGTGATGAAAAAATAATTCATCTCATCAACGAAGTTCATCAATTAACAATTGTTTTACATGTAAATTATTAGCATTTGATTATGTTCTATGTACGATTTATCGAAAGATTATTTAAGATTTAAAACATAGACAAATGATGATCCATATATAATGATTTGATTAAAACTTTATTATTAAGTAGTTTTATCTTGAGTAAAAACTTGAAATTCTTTCTCTATAAAAAAAAAAATCAAAGGTGTCTAGTGAAATCAGAATATTTATGTTAATATTTCAGGACAAGATATCACCCATCAATAGCTATATTTCTTTAATATAGCTTGTGAAGTATTCATAGATATAGACAAACTAGTGTCATATACAACTGGTCTATATATATATTATTATTGGCATCAATAGCTTGTACACTAAAACGAACTCTCAGTCGTAATAATAAAGATATTACAAAATAACCTTAATCCATCATCATCGTCGAATAGAATAAGAGTTATACGCTAGCAAGAAGAGAGAGAGAGAGAGAAATATATCGCTCGTGTGTTTATCCTTGTAGGAAAAAAAAGGATATGAAGAGGCGTACCGGTTGTTCTATTTGCTAATTATTCGCACTCATATAAATATATATCTTTTCGCCTACTGTCTTCTTCTCTGTTTTATTAGCAGCCAAGTAAAAGGTAATTGAATATATTGTCATAATATTATAATATAAAAAATAAAACAAAAAAAACCCAATGTCATATAGATATTAAATATGGTTGGACGATTAGATTGTGGATATTTATTAACACCAACTGGTCAACTCAATATTGCTGAATTGGTATGTTTCAATTCTAAACGAATTAGAAAAAGAAAAATAAGAGGTTTATAGGTTTTTATTTGTAAAAACAAAAGAAGCCATAGTATAAATTCTCCACAGAATAGTAGTTTGTTTCGTAAGTCAAATCAACTTTCTTCATATTATAGTTATGATTTGATTCGCTTGCAAATACAGAAGGGCATGAAATTCAATAAATTGGAATCATTAAACTTTCTGAGAACTTTGATATGAGCTATGATAATTAGCGATGAACCAAAAATTGATTTCAATACTTTTCCAGCTTCATGTTATCAGATAACTTAACCGTGCATATTATGATACTTTAGTTTGAGAAACACTATTGAGTTTTGGAGGAGTCGAGAACAAACTTTTATGAGGCATGTATCGACACAGTTCCGCCAGGTAACGTCATCTTAGAAACTTATGTATAGTTCACAAACACCAGGAGATTTATTTTAATTATCTTACAATAAGTATTAAGTAAACCTTTTACTACCAAATAAGGACTTCTCATTTTTATGAGATAGAGATGATAATTTCAATAATAAGTATCGTATTCATCTTATACTGGCGAGTTAAATACTTGCCTATGTTTCTGCATTCTGTTTTATAGAGAAAGGCGATTATAGATGATGAAACAATGAATTAAATTCATCATTTGTATTAAAATTACAAAAATAAAATATATGTTTGAATTTATTTTAGATTTGTTTAATTGGAGCTTTGATTAGTGTTGGATTTACATCACGTTTATATTGTGAATTAGTTGATAATTTACAATATATTTATCCTCAATTAAATACATTACTTGTTCGATCTTTATTTCAATCATTTGCTTTATTTTGTTTTACTATAACACTTGTAATTCTTATAATACATATTTCTGGTATAAGATTTTCTGGTAGAAATTATTATTATATAAATCAACTTGTAAGAGATTTAATTATTTTCTTCTTTTAATACAATTCAATAAATTATTATTTGTTCTTTTTTTCTTCATAGTGTTTAATGTTTAATATTTTTATGGGACTTATGATGATAACAATTGGTATATGTGCAGCATTTTGGGAAGATAAATTAAGACGTACACCTGATATTATTCAACGTGGTTATTTTGTAGATAGATATCAATATATATATGGTGAAATAACACATCCACGACCAGGTGCAGCAGCTGCTGCTGCAGTAAGTATATGAAATCACCAAAAAAAAAAGAATGAAAAAAAGAATTCTTCTTATTTAGATTCTTGGTATTTTGGCAGGTATTCTATTTATTATTGAAGCTTTTATAAGACCGATGTTAAATACGAGTACAACACATAGTCCAGATTATTATACAAAACCAATTGTATCATATCGTGCTCCAATAAAGAATATCAATGATGAACGTATAATACCAATTGAAAGAACAGTAACATCATATTTACCAAGTCGATTTTAAATAGATTTCTATGAACTTTATTTATATTTTGCTAAGCGTTTTTTTTTTCATATTTTAAAATTATTATTTAGAAATTTTGCAATGAATAAAATAAAAGAATTTAACATTAGAAAAATTCATATATATATTTATTGTGAAGAAAAAAGTCATTCATAATGAAAACAATGATCTGAATTGCAAATCATTAAAGATTTCTTTGTTATTTTCATAGAATATTGTAACTTTTCCAAAGCTATGTTTATCGATTTCTATATCTTCAACAATTATGGATCTTTTATTTCATCAACGGTGATGAAAGACGATTGATTGATCTTTTGCACAACTATATATTTTTGATGATATATTGTCCTTGTTAACTCTTATCAATGACATTGATATATGTTCTATGTCATTCTATTTTTTGCTTTGAAGTTGATCACAATGAGATTATGAAACTTTTCTCTTTCTCTCGTAAAAATAGATTCGAACACTTACTAATATATACAAAAACGAAAAGATTGTATCAAAAAAAGTAAATAGTATTTTGAAAACTGTTGATAGTTTATTATACAGGATGGCAAACGATAAAAGAATTTAATATCTCCAGTCTGATTTGTTCAAGTGGGCAGCAGCGTAACCAAGGGGAAAGGATCAAATGAGCAATTATCCATTTTATTTGGAGATTTGCCCATTGTAATTTTTAGTAGTAAGTTTTTGTCTATTGAAATTTTACTTTTTAAGAATTATTTATTTATTTTTGAATTAGATAGTAACTGTATGTTTTTTTTTCTCATGCATCCTTTACTTGTTCTTTCTGTGAAGAATTAAGAAAAGAGTCGCTTCTTATATTTTAACTGTAAGTTTGAGTGGACGTGAGAGTTTGATTTTATAGGGAATACACAAACCACGTAAAAATAGAAAAGGATAGATCAAAGATAAGAGAACACACACGAATATACATACATATGGGTAAATATATATCGAATGACACATACAAGAGAAAGGAAAAATCCAATGACGTATATATGAAAACATAAACGAAAAAAATCAAAATGCAACATGACCTAGTTCATAGGAAAAATGGTCATGTGTGATTTTTCTTACTCATCTATATGTATGTGTGTACTTTGATAATACGTTCGCTCTACTATCTTCTCATTTTCGAACTGAATTCATAATAATAAGCTATATACTAATACTAATTAGTTCAATTTTTTTGTTATTCTTCCACAATAGTTTTATTATTATTACGAAAACATGAGACTCAAAATTATTTTCATAAACTTGTTTATTGTCATGTTGGTGAATTATGTGAAAAAACTGTTTATCACACTAACTATTCTACGTTATTCAATATTAACTTTGCGAAACAAAGAAATATATCAATTTGTGATCATGTTTATTTACTATTCTTAGACGAACTAATTAATAATATTAAAATAGGAACATAATTTTTGGTTAGTAAAATTAATGAAATTGTGAGTAAAAAAAATATACAATTGGTCAGTAGAAATATTGAAATGGTTAGTTTTTTTCTATGTACGTGTCAGTAAAAAATTCAAACTTGATCAGTAAAAATGCAGATTTTATCAGCAGACAAAAGAAGTTTTATTCATATAAAGATTACTTTAATAAATAATAAAAAAAACACAATATCTAAAAGAACATTAAATAGAAATTCAAAGAATCAATGGAGAAAAAGAAAATAACAATTCAACTATTGTACTAGCCAAGCAGATTTAGCCTTTACTGGTAGTAGTTTGCAATATTTCAAACGAATGGCCATACCAACAACGTGTTTGCATATACAATTCTCAAAAAAGCTTGACAATTGCATTTTGATTTTATTCAATCTAGTGAATCATTCTCCAATTTCATACACCAAATATCAAATGATTTTTTGAATTGATTAAATGTTGTCCACTTTTTAATTTTATATTTATTTAAATTGACTTTTGTAATCGATTGTAAATCATGAGCTGGTATATAGTATGTTTTTGAAGAATCATTGGAAATACAAATTACATTTTTTGTTGATTTAGCCCATTAATACCATAAAGTTCATAATGCTAAAGATATTGTTGGTTCTGTAGCAAATATTTTTGCGTTAATTGATGAAGGATCTCATTCAATTGACCAATTATTAACGATATTTGAAGCTATTGTCGAAAATCTTGATAAAACATGACGTTCTCTACAGAATGGGACGGCGCGACCGGGGAGATGGGGGTTACCCCCTCTGCTCCAGATTTGGAAATTTTGGGGATCAATTCACTCCGAATTTGGAATATTTACTAAGCAACTTTCTCCGACTTTGAATAACACTTTTAAGCACTTTTCTCTGATTCTGGAAGAAATATAGTATACAAATTTTCTCTTATTTAGAGAAAACTTCAGTTTGGAGGATAATTTTTGACTTTCTTCGATTTTAGGACTGACTCCCCCCCTGCTCCGACCTCTTCGCGCCGCCCCTGGATCTAATTATATTAATAATTGACTGTTTAAATACAATACTGACCATTTCATTTATCTAACTGACTACTTAAATGATAGCCACATTAAAAGTCGATTATTTGACTTAAAAAGTGAGCGAATTATATTATTACGTAAACTGCAACTGGAAGGAATTATAAATGAAAAACTATTTGAATTAACAAAACATTTATCGAAACAATTCGCTGATCGTTTACTACCACCATTACATGTAAATTTTGAAGTAGAAAGATAGCAAAAAAAATGTAATTATTTGCTTAATTTGGATGATGACTGGAGAAAAAAAATGGTTATATGAACTAAATGAAAAGACAGACAATGTATTATATCCAAATGTTCGTTATTTATTAATTTTCTTGGCAACATTGCCTGTATCAACATCTTTTACTGGAAGAAGTTTCAGTTAATTATCGATGTCGGTCTACTATGAAACAAAATAGACTAAACGCGGACTTGCTGCTGCGCACATTCATAAACATCTCGATATAAATTCAAATGGAATGTTGAAATTATATACACAAATACATCATCGTCGTGTTGATTTTAGTGTTTAAATTTGAAATATAAATGTTATAAACATAGACTAAAACAGACTTGACTCAGGCTTAAGATCCAAGTTTGATAGATATTTGATTAAAAGAACCTCATTTCATTTTTTTACGTTATTAGCACTTTGTTGGACCAAAAAAGTTTTCATCTATCAATAAAAACCTTGCGCATTGGCCTAAAAATTTTAGTTACGCCGCTGCAATCGGATTAATCTTTAGTTTATATTTCAATTTCCTCTTGTTTGTGTGGCATTACAGATAACTGGAAAAATCATCTTTCTTTTTTTTTTGGAAAAGAAGATTCACTACTTTGTTTTATCAGTTCAAATATCAATTGATTCTACATCCAGTAATCAAACTAATATGCTTATAATAATGAAGATAAATGTCTTTCTCTAAGAAATTCCTATCTATACCATTTATATGATCATGGAAAATATGTTGCTAAGCATTATTTCTTGAAGAATTCATTGCTAACAGATGTCGTTTTATAACATAACAAAAATCAATCTTCATTGGTTGTTCTTAATTTGGGAATATCGCAGTAAATATAAATATCTATCTGATCTCGGGAACAATACATCTAAAAATGTCAAATACAATTGATACATATCTTAATAATTCATTAGATTCATCACAACAAGAACCATTAACAATTCTAGAACAAGTTGTTAATTTAGTTCAAGAATTAAAAGATACAAAAGATGAACAACATCAAGTTAATACTGAACTTGATCAAGAAATTCAAACTCGTCTTGAAGCTGAACCTGAAGTATCTCAATTATGTCAACAAGTAGAATTAGTTGAAGTTAATCTTGATAATACAACAAATCATGTTAATCATTTAACAACACAATTAACAGACACAACTAAAGTATCAGAAATTGAACAACAGTATGAATAAATAATTTTTATTTAAAAGAAAAAATTAAAAATTTACAAGTTTCATTTTAGTGTTGATACTAATCTGGAAAATAATTTAACACCTGTTGAAGATAAAGAAATTAATCTTGATAATCAATTACGAAAAGTAAAAGAATATAATATTCAAACAGATAAACGTTTTCATGATGTAAAATTTTCTTTCTCAAAAGATAATTATAGAAGAATAACTAAATTTTTTTTTTGTCTTTTTAATTAATAGAATATAAATAGATTAACAGAATTACAAGAACGATTTGAAAATGCTGAACGTCGATCAGCCATTGCTCAGAAGTTAAAAAAAAAATATAATTTAATATAAAAATTTTATTTTCATATTTTAGACGTATTTCTTCTCTTGAAGAAGATATTCGAAATGCATATATAGAAATGAAAACATTAATTCAAGCTAGAGAAAGAGTAAAGATTATCTATAATATTTATCTTCTTCTTCGTTTTATTTAAATCTTTTTTAGTCACGTACAAGAGAAGAAAAATATTTGAAAGATATTGAAGATTTACAAAATCGACTTAAAACAGTAAGATTTATTATAGATTTGAATATGAAACTTATTTTAATAATATTTATAATAAGGCACAACAACGAACTGATAATGCTGAAGCAGATGCTGAAAAATCACAACTTAAAATAGAACAACTTCAAGGTAATTTTATAATTTTTTTTTTTTTATATAAAATTTTTCATACTAAGTCTTTTTTTCCTCTTTAGAAAAATTACTTGCTGAACGAAATAAAAGTTCTCGAATAGAAAAGATGATAGCTAATTCATCTAAACCATTAGAATAATAAAAATTTTTAATTGATTTTTTTTTATTATTATTTTCTATTCCTCTTGTTACCATTTGAATGATTTTGTTTTGAAAAATTTTTCTTGTCTTTTTTGCTCTTGTGTGCTGTGAGCAAGCCTTAGAATTTCATTTTTTATTACCCATTATTGCTACATTTGTCTTGGTACAACACATGGATAAAACCAGCATATCCGTTTTCTTACCTTACTTTTTGTGTGTGTTTGTTCATAGCTGGTATTGCAATAAAGAAAATGAAATTAAAATTCAAAAGAACTTTTATGATCTTCAAAGGTTGAACGCCTATAATAATAAATGCTAGGATTATCAAATTAAAATTTCAAAAAGTAGAAGTTTTTTTGTTTTCGATTGAAATTAGGAGATTATTTGCCGATATTTTCTTTCGAAAGAAATTAAAATTTTTATTTTGCTTAATCACTTGTTATATTCTATTGATAGCAAAAATTTTCTTCTAACTCTGACTGATAGTCTTCGTTTGAACTCATATTTTGCTTATAGGGAGGACTCATAGTGTAGATTAAAATCCTAAAAAGCTTCAATACCATTGGACCTTTCTTCTCAAGTTATGACTATTTTACTGGATTTTCAGCCTGAAATTCTTCCCAACAATAACTCTCATGGTTCTTATGATATCCTGAACGTTTTAGCCAAAACGGATGTTTCCATTCTGAGACAACATGTTTGCAGAAAAAACGTTACTCTTACACAAGAACTTCGAAAATAGTCCAGTTTTTAGGCATACAATATTTTAACTAGGAACATGTACTTTGTTAAGAGTATGTTTGGGTGATTTGGTTTTAAACATTATCAAAAAGGTTCTTACTTCAATGCAAAACTGATAGAGAAATCAACACATGAGGTATATAAAGAAACTTGAAAACCGAATAAAAAATCCCATGTATGAGTGCATTATAGTGTTTTTAAACAACGAAACACTGAATTTCTTTTCTTCCAATGCTAGATTTTTCTAATTTTGACTTCTTAAGTCTTTGCTAAAATTGAAATCGTCTTCCATTTCATTGTCCGACTAGATTATGATTTGAAATCCATTGATTTTTTGTGACCAGCCTACGGCGAAACAAGTACACTGTTATAATATAAAAAAAATAAGCATTTCGACACAAAATAAAAGGAAAGCTAAATCATGCACTTCGCATCGAATAAAACAACCATGAGATATTTAATATTACGTTTCATTATATTTCCAAACTCAATGCTCATGAAATAGCACGAATGAATAACGTCGAGAAACTTAACTCCACGCAAAGATGGTGTAATTGACACACTAATGACTCACCTACGCACACATGCTAAGTCAAGATGCCATATCTCTTTGATCTTGGATGTTATTCCTATAATAATTGGATGCGATGATAGTCTTTGTGGAAAGAAGGGTGTTCAAAAACTGAGAAATAGTTTTTATATCCACATATTCATGTTCACAAATTCTTTGATGAATATGAATGCGAAAGAAAAAAAAAAGAATATCGTGGATATTGTGTTACTTGTTTTATTTTAGCAATTATAGAACTGTGAGGGAATTCCAAATTTCTCGGTTCTTAGACACTTCTCATGACAAGCAACGGCGAATCAGCGATGTACTTGTAATGACTCTTGGATTGAAAAGGATGATTGAGCCTGTCTTCTCTTTTTCAATAAGCTTGATCACCCGAAAAAATTTTGATCTCTCCAACGTTATTTTCTCTGTGGTCGATAAAATGAACAATGCACGTAATGATCATCTATTTATACGTGGATGGGTAAATGGGCTAAGAGAAGAGGTAACATCCGTACAATGCACTTTTCTATATGGTAGTTATGACAAAGACAAGAATGATATTTTCATCTTAGAATATTTAAGTCACAAGTAGGGGTGTCGTCTTAGCATTAGTATTGCATTAATTAATACTTTTTT